GACTTCTGGGAAAGCAGCTACAAACATGAAGGGAAAAGGCAGTTCTTTCAGGTTTTGTTGGTTTTTTTTGTTTGCCTACCTTCTTCCAAGCGTGCTAAGGAAAGAAAAAAAAAAAAAAAGAAAGAAAAAAAAAAAGAAAAAAAAAAAAGATAGGCAGACAGAAAGATACAGACAGAGATACAGAATGTACCCATTAAGTATCTGCGAGGAATGCTTTATCAGCTTGCTTGTCGGCTGCTGAGTTGTTCATTTGAGGGCATTAGATTCCCAAGAGCAGGGATCTATAGAGGATTCCTACCTTTGGAAAAGAACAAAAACACAGAATAAAAGCCTTAATCTTATAACCCCCGATCTAGCCAACTAAATCCCCAATTAGCAATTCAAACAGATTAATATAGCCCTTCCCTCCATTAAGCATACCCGACATCATGTGGTTGTGTGTTTTAAAGATACATTTTTCTTGTGTGCAGCTCTCTTTCTCACCAAAGTTGACAATTCCTTTAAGACCATCTAATTTTCCCATAGACTGGGAATCGACTCTTTTTTTTTTTCCGTCTTTTATATTCTGCCAGTTCTGTTGATGCACACCGGCAGAATCTCTTAAATTAATGATCTATCTCCCTTACCATATATGTCCCCAAATGTCTGTCCACTTTGGGGTTTCTGTACCATAGGCTGTTGGCAGGGTTCTCACCATGAGCGATGGGAAGGGTGGCAATGACACACTTCTGCTTTCTGGAAAATTCATTCTTATTTCCATAAAACTCTTGAGTAACTTAAATGATGGTTTCTCCTCTTATCTAGGGAAATACTGAACAAAGCAAGCAGATGTCTCAGCTCAGAAGAAGCACTGCTAAAGCATCCCTGAGCAGGGTGGGCTTGGATCTTCCCCAGATTTCAGTGCCTAATTGCCTTGGCCTTTGGACATCCCAGTAACTTGCTTCTAGAAAGCATGAAATACCTGCAATTCCCAGCAACTACTAGAGGTGGCCAGCAGTCTGTTGAAGGACTATGGAACTACTTTCCTGTTAGCAACTGCCCCCTTTTTAAAAGATGGAGCAGAGGACTAAGGATGTCCCGTGGTGGTCCCCCATTCCTCATTCCATTCCACATCAAATGATGGGGGGATATGTTCTGATGCTTCCCTACCCTTCTCCACCACTTGCTTTGTCCCTCTTATGTAATTTTCTGGTTGTTTATTCTTTGTGCAGATGGAAGTAAAAGCTGTCCATTCTTACCCATATTTTCTTAACCAGATAATTTCAGAATCTCCTCCTTTTCCAACAGCTGTTGGATATTACCAGCTGTGAGGCTTTGGAAGAATGTGAGTCTTGCAACAGAATGTGTCCATGGCCTACTGCAACCTCTAATTGCTTTGTTGGGCAACCAGCTTGAGAGCATTGAGCTTCTTGCCTATGCTACAGACTTTTCTTGCACATAAATGCAATAATCCTCAGCAGAGGTGAAGATGCTTTTTATCCTCTTCCATGTGACTTTCCTCTGCTTCAGACAAGGAACTCGGAGGAACACTATCCAGTGGAAATAAACCTGAGTGATCTAAAACTCCTACAAATATACATTGGTGCCAAAATTTCTTTCATATCTGGTCCTGCGCTCCAGAAGAAAAGGTAAATAAGACGTAGCTTCATAGATAAACGCATGCAGACAGCTCGTATTTTCTCAGCTCTTATCTTTTTGCCTTTGGAAATTTATAGCGAAACTTGAAAGAAAGTTTAATAAAAGAAGGAGCACAGACATGACTATGTGGAGATTATTATAATGATCCACATTCTGCATATTTCATGCCCAATCACCGGCAACATTTCCCAAATACTTTGCTGCCCCATATAGCATTTTGCATATACAGGTGTGCTTATACTGTATACGGACAACAACGAGGCCCAGTCTGACTTGTGAAGCGTAACAGGAATAACAACTACATGGCTGCTTTGCTTGGCTACCAAGAAGAACAAAGCTTCCCTAAACATTTTTGATCAAAGGAACTTTCCATCAAACAATCTTTTTGTCTGTATTTTAAGAGTTTAACTCCACTTTTCTGTATTTCATGTTTGCTTTATTTTCCCTTCCTTTTTACTTAGGAAATGAGATAGCTAGTATTAAGTATATATATATATATATATATATATATATATATATATATATATATAATTTTTTTTTGCCAATATTTCCTGGGAAAAAAATATCTATCTTACCACTGTTTGTCTTAGGTTTTAAAAGATTCATCGAAAAAGGAGCTATTTTTCTGATTGAACTTGCTTTGAAGTTTGGCTAGCACATAGCAGAATCAATCAAATTTTGTATTTTGTTACATGTGTTAAAGTTGCTGGTGAGTTCCTTAAAACTTTCCCTATTGGAATCAGAAGTTTGTTCCAAAATAGCAGTTTTATCTACTTATATTTATGTCTCTAGACTTTAAGAATTAAGGCAACAACATGATCAGAATACATCTCAAACACCGTGAAAGTTTGCAGCAAATAAAATGATCCAAGTGTAGGCTTCTTATAATTAAATCTTACTGTTTTTGGTAACTTCAAGAGATATTTTACTGAACGTGAATGGCAGTTTTTCTCAAAAGTGTGTAGTATGCCTATAACAATAACAGATGGATATGCATACAGACGTGGGTGGAGTTCAGAGGGGGCTTCTGAACTTCTCGCCACCCAGAAAACCAATGGGTGAACAAAACAGATGGGAAAGGGCAACAGAGAAGAAGCAGATGTAAGGACTTTGCATTTGATGAGACCCAGGTCGCTGCAGCTCCTGGCTGGTTCAGTTCACCTGTGCTGCTTTTTGAATGACTGTTGAGCCTTTCGCACACATAACGAATACGTGCAGTTTTGGCATTTCTGAGCGGTACAGAAGAGGGGACCACGCTGGGATCACATGCTGGGGGCAGGTATCATCTGGGGTAGGTGGGCACGGGCTGCCCCAAGGGCAAGGGCTGGGGGAGAGGGGAACAGCATGGGGATTTCCAGCTCTGGGCTGGAGAAAAGAGGCAAGGAGGAAATGCTGGCTGAGCCAAGCTGTGTGGCAGGACTCCCAGAAAAGGAGTCAATATCACAGGCATCTGGAAGCATCAGAGGTGGTTTTCAACAGCTGGCTCCAGCAGCTGGATCTACCTGCCCTGCCGACGGTGAGTCTGCACACCAGCAGGGACAGCAGTGAATTGTCTCCTGCACACTATAGGCTGGCCAGAGGTAGATTGAGCTTTAAATGGAAGCCCAACATTGGCACACAGGTCAAGAGCACAAGCTAGGCTGGCTGTGGGCAGAGAACCACATGCAGTGCTGATACAGCCTGTGAGTCATGGGCAGCATTTTCACCGACAGTAGGACATGAGCTTTTTTAATGACTCCATTAATAGGCAGAGAGCAAGATCAGGCACACATTTCTTGCTCAGACTATTTGCTCTTTGCAGGGGTATTTTTCTTATGCCCAGTGAGCTCTTAATTTGCAGTCAAGTTAAAACCTGATCTGGTTCCTTCCACTGTCAAAAAATAGTGATGTCCTCTGAATTTCTTGTTCCACAGCAGAGTTAACCTCACCCACATACTGGCAGGTTGTTCACTTCTGGCAGCTAGTGGCTTGCAGCAAGCATGCTTTTCTACGGTGATGAGCCAGACTAGGCCCAGTCCTGCTAACATGTAAAACTAGACATGTTCCTCTTACAGAACTCAACCAGCATAACTTATTGCAGGCAACACTATACCCATCAGCATTTTGAAAATACTTTCTGCTCACATGTTGATAGAGTGTTTCAGGCATCCTTATGTTAAAATATTTTCAAAGTTGCATTTCACTCTCCTTTAGATTTAATGTCATACACAGATTCATTTTTCAAAATGTAAATTCTTTCTTCGTGAGGCATGTTCTTCTAATGCCATTTTTACAGTGCAACTCATCATAACCTTCATGAACGTATTTTAATAATAGTGTCAAAAAAGACTTAACATGCAGATAATAAAAGTAACAAATGACAACAGTCAGCAACATGGGTTTTATTATTTAATAAAAAGTATTTTAAAGAATGATTATATTATGCAGAAAAGAGCACTCATAATCCCATTGTAACATCTCTAGCTATTATTTCTAAATCAGCAGATTTATGTTTTGAGAGTCTCAGATGCACAAGAGGAGGGAAAGCTACCAGCATCTGTCAAAAGATAAAACATAAAGAAACTAATAAAAGAGTAAAACAGCAGTGAAAACAATAAAAATGACAGTACCTTATTGCACTAAAAGCTGTGTAAGTTACCGGAGGGCACAATATCTAATGACAATTGTTTTATCAAAACACATGTGAACGTTTTGTACAAATTAAGGCAACCTGCAAATTTTCCACTTCTCTTTTTTTTTTTTTTTCTCCATTACTATGATGGATTTCATGTCTTATCTACTTCCAGCTCTTTCTAAAGCAGGCCTCATCACTCAAGGACACACACAAATATATACAGATACTGAACGTTAAAAGTCTGAATGTTTTCAGAGGGCACTCAAAGGGGTAATTTTGTGGATGGGAAGAGAACACAGAGAGTTTGCAAGGAGGCACCAATCCAATGGAGAGCAGGAGCATGGTAAATATGGCATTTAGCTGAGCATAAATAGCAAAATCATACAAAACTTAGTGAAGTTCATTTGCACCTTCAAACCATTGCTTTCCTTCTCCTTGTCCAGATCTTTCAGCAGGAAGATTTTCAGGAAACAAGCTATCTCTTATAGGTTTGTTTGGAGACACATCCTTTGGCCTTCCCTGGGGGAACTTTGGTTACTCTCCACTGTGTTTGTGACTGCAGGTGCCTGACCCTTGGCTCTACACTGACTGATAGGTTCTTTGCCAGGAAAACTGTAGATCGATTATTTGTGTCAGAGTCTGCCCCTGACGCATGGCACGGGTACAAACCAATCTGCCCATTTGGCCTCAGGAACATCAACCAGTCTCTGATATGGGTGATAAGGATAGGTGTGATCCAGCAAAACTACTTGAAGAGTGTGAAGCTGGCGTGGCAGAGTTAGAGTTTAATCCCAGACCCAAACAAAGTAAGGAAGCTTTTCTTTGATTTTTGCTGATATTCCTGGGACAGGGGACATGGGACTCTCCCTTGGGCATCACCTCAGCTTCTCTGGTAGCACTTGTCTTGGGTTTTCCAGCAGTGCCAAATGCCTTTTCTCTGCCCAACAGCATCCCAGGGATGGGTGGCTCTGTGAGGGCTCCTGGCGCACCCAGCCATAAAATTCACAGGCCATTTTATGAGGCTTTTTCCATCTCTTTTTCTCCCTGTAAGGCTATAGCAGCGAGGATAAGGACATTTGAGTATCAAGGTTACCATTCCTCCCACCTCCACCTAGAAACCTCCCACCTCTGTCTAGACACGCTTTCTGACATCTCAGAGCCCACTATCCTCTTGATCCCTTGGCTAAACAACAGACCTTTACTATCACTCAGGAAGCTGAGCCTTTGAACTCAAATCGTGTATGTTTAAGGTGGGGAAAACCATATCTCTGTGTATGGAAAAAGAATGAGTTTTCTATTTTTTTTTTTTTTTCTCTTGGTAGCAGTTTTAAGGTCTGATTGAAAAAGGAGGGAACAGAAGATCCTGGAAAATTTCAGGTTGGATTATTTCTCTGCACTAGGAGGAAGGATCCTAAAATAGACAGGACACCCGAGTATCATCCAGTGCACCATAGTTTTGGCTCAGAGCATTAGAGATCGCAGAGCTAACAGCCTGGCTCTCTGCACACTGTTACTTTTTAACTCCTGCAAACACAGGGACTGAAGACAAGAGGGCATGTAGGCATACAACAATGACCTGATATCACCACCTTAATGAAACTGTATACTGCATGTAAAGATTGCTGAACTGATCTTATTGTATTACTTGCCTTTTTCTTTTCAAGTAATAGATAATTTCAGCTTTAAGAGGGTTCCCTTTAAATATACTGAAACATATTTAAAAGCTTCAAAAGTTGTATTTGTTGTTTTCAAAAGAAACAATTTTTGAGTAGAGCTGCCTTTTTTTGGCATAAAGCAATTGGAAAGTACCATAGATATCTCAATAAAACACATCAAAAGTAACTTTCTATAGCTTGTTTTGACATGTCCACTTGTGGGTTGTATCAACTTTAACTAAACATCAGTTTTTCCCTCCGTCAGTACAAACCATTAAAAATATTCAACAGAAAAAAAGCAAACAGAAATAACTCAGTACTGTGTTTGCCTATTTTCAAATAAAAGGAGATACAGAAAGGAGTGGTCACTGCAGTTGAAAGTGCATTTTTCTGATTCATATATTTGCTGTAACTATTTGCATAGGATTTAAATGTCTAAGAAAAATGCCCAGCCATTTTAAAGGGAATGCTGCATTTGAAAAACTTGAAAATGCTAATCTGGTTTCATATTTACAAAGGTTTGTTTACTGTATGTGCGATCAATTCACCAAATGACAGAAAACTTTGGTAAATACAGTTTTGATGCCGAGACTCTTTGACCTGTTTATGAAGGAATAGAAACCTTATCTGCTCTAGAACCAATCCTAAAGGAGCACATTGTGCTGATTTCATTTGAGATCTTATCCTTTCTCTCTCCTCTCTTTCTCTCCCACCCTCCCTCATGAGCACTGAATGCTAAGTTATTTCCTTGTCAAGGCAGCTTATCAGGACTAGATTTACTCTTGATATCATTTTGTAAACACATAGCAAATGGTTTATGCATTAAGGGAAAAAGGGAGCAGACGATGTTTTCGTCTGAAGAGGAAGCAAATCTCAAGAAAATATAAGATCTTAATTAATATTCTAATAAATAATAAATAAAAAATCATTCCATCACAGAACAAGCCTAGGAAACAGGCAATTAAATTAAAACTAAAAATAGGTCTGCACGCTCTTTGTTTATCCTGCTCACTCAGAAGCGCTCTCTGTTCAGTGATGCCATGCAGGTAGGTTAAGTGCACGATGAAGAATCATTCCCTCAGGAAAAAATAAAGATTCATCAGTGAATCAGCATCCTGCCATTGCTGCAGCAGTATTCAAAATGACAGTATTTGTCTTACAGGAGAAAAATCTATTGAAGGCTTCCTTATAGCTAAGCCAAGGTAAATGCATCGTTTGCAAAGTCAGTATGCAGTTGGGTTAGGAGTTAGTGAATGAGAAAGATGGGGAGATAATCTATACTGACTTGGCTTGCTTGCTGCCTGTGACCCCAGTCAAGCAATGCATGCATAGACACACAGATTGTCCCAGTGACCTCAGTGGTTAAAGTTTCAGCACTTAAAGATTCCTGTATTTTAAGTGTTTTTGCTGGAGAGAGACCCATGAGAGCCCAAAGCTTATTGCAAGGAGGCAGAAGTCAATGCCTGAGCAAGCACCTGCGATAAAGGCAGCAACAGCTTAGGTGCCAGTGCCTGAGAATAAGACTGCAGACTGAGATGACCTGTAGAAGAAGAATACCAAGCACAGTGATAAAGGCGTAGGAATGTATTACACTGGATTAAGCTAAGTGGTAAGTTCATAGCACATCTGAGGCCTCTGCAATAAATGTTCATATTCCTGTTTTTCTTCTATGGTCCATGTGCAGTAACATCAGGTAGCACCAACTCCTCAGTGGCAGACTGGACATCACTGACGTGTCATCTTTGTACATGCTGTCCTAACCTCTCTGCTTAACCCTAGGAATTAGCTCACGGGCCCAGGCTCTCTGGTGCTAGTCAGAGAAATAGGTCTTCTCCTGTCTTTGTTAGTGGACTTACGGAAAACAGGCAAAAGCTCAGTGGTCTCACCTTGCCTTTCAGGAGTGATTGCCAGTGGATGAGATTGATGTAGGGCCAGACGTGAGTCAGTTCCTGTAACTTTGGAGACAAAATCTTCCCTTCTGTACAACTCTGAAATCCTACTACTTTCTGGGTTGTTCTCTACAGACTTTTTACAGTAGCTGCTGGAGTAAAAAGGGAAAAAACAGATCTGCTCCATGACTCTTGTCTGTTCTGTTCTCTCTCAACCCATTCCTTAGTTTCTCAACTCCTTGTCATTGCATAACTCTTCTTTATAGTCTTTATCTATTTCTATCCTCATACAGGTGCTTCTATCTTTTTCTCCTTTTTGCTCCTTTCCCCAGAACTGCTCTCTCACCCAAGATTCATCCTTTGCTTCTTGTTGTAAAGTGACCAGTGGGCACCCCAGGAAGAAATTCCCCTCTAAGGAAAGTGCAGAAAGCCAAGGATCTCACAATCGGTTAAAAAGAAGTTGCAGTGATGCAAGATTTCCAGTGTCTTCTCCATTAAATCTCCCAAGACAATTCTACGAGTGAGGCGGAAGGAAGGTAGTCATGACAACTGAAGGCTTAATAGTATCTGGTGCCTACTGCTGATGAGCCTCTTACAGACCCCAGAGTGGAAACTAATGATGCCATCTCCAGGGTGATGCATATCCTCCACTATGACCTAATGGATTAGAATAGAAAAGAGACAAATCTGACATATTGAGCATTATTTTGAATGTGAGCCAGAGAGTTAAGATCCATCATTAATCATAAAATGAAAAGGAGCTATCATGCTCTATCCAGGTCCAAGATAGAAGCAGAGGTTGTGACCAGACCACCTAGGCTAAATACATAACTCAGAGGTTGTGTCTGTCTCTCAGAGTTGACTGGACAAGGATCCAGGCTCTGGGTGATTTGCAACGCAATCTGCCATATCAGTCTCTTGAACTTGGATGACACTGAAGGTACCAATTCCAATCCAAAGTGCTATTGCATACAATTTGAATACACCTCTCCACGGCCCTTTATAAAGAACAGGTGTTAAAGAATGTGATCTACAGAATGGTCACCTTGTAAAAATTGGACAAAAAGTGGGTCACATGCCAGGACCCACTGTCTGCTTGCTTCACAATGTCTACTGAAACAAAACAGAATTTCTTTTTGACTGCATCATTGTGAATTCACACTGATTCTCCTTTTCCTTGCCAAATTTCATATTTGTGAGTAGGTAAATAATGTTGTAGTGGGGAGAGTCCATGAAATAGTCCTGTCAACAGGTCCTCTGACCTATTTCTGCAATGGAGCCTGGCTGACTAGATCCCAAAGAAGCACACCCAGAGAAAGTAGGTTGTGGTTCACTGAGGCAAACCAAGGCAAGAAGCCAATCACTCCTTAATTTGATTGACTCCTACTAGTGGACTTCAGTGACTGAGCATGAAAAAAAGACTAAGCAATAGAGGAAACTTTACTTTTTAATAACTCGATTAAATCGTGCATGATTTAAGATGCTTCTGATAAGAAATGCACTTAGGAGCTCTAATATTACATCACACCAAGCAGCAATGGCATAAAGGTTAAAGTACTTAACTTCCAAAATAGTATAGAACCATGATCAATCAAGTGGGAACAAGTCCTGTGTAATGTCTGCCCGTATTCTTAATGACACACTGGTACATAATGCAAGTCAGATTCCCGTATTTAACTCCAAGTTAATTCCAAGGGTGGCGTAGATGCTGTGCCATGTGCTGCCCCTGTTAACTTCTGAACTATATAGCAGGAAGCTAGATGAATCTGATTTTAATTGTGATTTCTAATTGACACGGATAAGAATTCAGAAGATGAGCTGAGGACTCATCTTAATTTCTTACTCTTCATGATATATAAATATGCTACAAGTTCTAAATACCCCTTGGCTGCCTCCTTCTTCGTGAGGTACTCACACTTCATTGATTATATGTTTGAAAGCTGCTCATTTCTTAAGGATTTTTTAGATTATATGTCCATAGATTGAATTCTCGGGCTCACATTTTGAAAAAACCCTTTTGGAAAGTTTAGAGGCTTCCTTCATGCTTTACAGGACCCTCTGTTGTGAATAGTCACATAAGAATGTAAGAACAGACGCAATAGCTACACTTACACAGGACATTGGGCCAGATAGAGGATATTTCCAGGCCAATATTTACACATATGTCATCATTTTTAATAGCCATCATTCTGTAGTTTGTCTGCTTAGAAATTTTCTAGCCATTTTGAACCCACTGCATTTCCATGCTCCATGACAGCTTGTAGCCTGTAACAAGTTAGTACTTTTCCACTGTGCAAAAAAATTCTTCCTTTAGTTGTGAACCTGCTGCCATTATAAAAATAGTGAATCATTTCCTCTTTATATTATTCACAGCATTCATGGATGTTTAGATCTCTTATCATATCTTTTCTTTATCTTCTCTTGTCCAAATAAAAGAAACATTTTCTATTCAGTTTCTGCTTGCATGCAACCAGTTTTGTTCCTCCAGTTATTCATCTTATTATTATTTTAGAGAGAGATCAAGCAGAAATTCAAGCAGTACGCAAAGCATGCAGTTGTGGTGGGTTTATAGAGTGGCGGAAAGATATCTTTCATTTTTCTGTGATTTGTTTTGCTTTCTACACTGTTGGCTTATTAACAGTAGTAAAGGACATTTAAATCTTTGCAATTTAAAGTGAAACCTTCAGAAATGTTGAGGTGAATTGTGAATACAGCCTTCTCTAATGTTCAGTGAGAGCTGTGAACGTGAGGTGCTCTTGAAAACTGCATTATTGCACACAATCACACATCTTTTTAAAGATTTCAGACCTTGCTTTATTCTCTCATCCAGTCAGATGACATTAGGTGCTAAAACAGCCTTCTCCTAGAGAAGAAATGGAAAAAGTCTCACAGACTTCATTAACAGACAAACAAACCTATCTGACCTATTTTCACAGCCTTCGGATAGAAACAGTGAGCTCTTTGCCCATATCTCTGCTCCCATCTTCATGCTTTCTATTATCTTGGGATGATTCTGAAACCATGGGAGCATGAAGTGAATCTTGTCCAGCTGGCCCCAATACCTCCTTTATGTCAGAGAGACCCAGAAAGATAGCAAGTGTAGAAAGACTTCACCCTTAGAAAGAATTTAGTACATTTTTGCACCCTGTTAATTAATTCAGGGAGAAAGTATCAGGCAGGCTCGTGTAATTGTGCTGGTCCACTAATCTCAGGAATAGTATTTGTTTTGACTTGTGAGTAATATGTGATACATTTTTTCATAATTATGAACTTCATCATAAGGATAGTCAAAGAGATTTTAATCTGGAGTTGATAAATTTTGCAGGGCTGGGTAACAGGTGGAGTCATTTATCTCTGTACTAACTTGATCATGTTTATGAACCAATTGGTGAATCCCTCTGAAGAGTTCCAGGCCCGCCTTCTTATTTATTTATTAACCATAATGGATCCATGGGAATCCAGAGTAGGTTTACACTGTAACTTGATTGTCCAAAACCATAGCTGTTCACAATTCCCTCTTCCTCAAAGTACAGATTTATCCCTGCATGTATATTAGTTAGAATGAATATGGTCTCAATGGTCAGAAGTCTCAATTATCCAAACAAACCCCTTATGACACTGGGATAATTGAGCTCAGCTACTCTTGTGGATTGTTGAAATACCAACATTCCCATGTAATTTCTCATTAGGATTTAAGTGAGCTTAGATTATATCTTAGAAGTCTGTCTTTGATCACAGAGCTATTATACATACATACAGATGACATTATTCCCATACAATTAGTCATTCATCTTGAAGTGTATTTTGAATATTAAGAATGATGTGTCTTCTTGTAAACTCTCCCCAGCTTACCCAAAGATCTTAACTTCTAAACCAGTCCATCAGCCAACCAGGGTGGGGACAATCTATTTATTACTTGAAAAGTGCAATATGATAACTGTACAGTGTAATTTACAGCAAGCAGTAGCTACTGTCAATGGAAACAAATCATACAACTGATATATTCCTGAAATTAAATGAGAAAATTAGTTTAGGATAATAATACATCAAACTTGATGTGGCCAGAGTATAAGGTTCTGCTTCAGTGAGCTCGTATAGATAGTACTAACCCTCTGGGAAAAGGCCATCAAGGAAAAAACATTTCACAAGAAATTGGACTGTCACTGAGATCTGCTGGGACACTGAAACTTGCACAGAGCCTAATGCCATAATTGAATGATGTCCATTGTCAAACATGGGCAAAATCTTTAATCTGTGACTACATCTACTCTCCAGGTTCATGCACATCATACAGCAAATCGCACAAGCAGAGAGAAACTGTGGACAGGAGGACAATGGAGGTTGTTCGTGGAGTTTTAGATGAAAACAGTAAAGAGTGGATGGTAAGATATAAGGCTTTGGCACTGGTGAAAAATACACGTATGGATTTGGCCTCATTTGGCAACAACTCTAGAGACTGTTTAGTCATGAGGGATGGGGCAGGGATTCTACACTCACAGCAGGAATCTCAGTATGAGAGCAAGGAGGAGCAGTGGTGGGTGGTAGGAGAAGGGAAAGTGGTTGGGGAGGCTAGAGACAGGAGCAAGGGAAAGTAAATAATATCACAAGGCATTACTTGGAACAGCTGAGAAGCAAGCTCAGCATAATTGGTCGCTTCACATCCTTTCTTTTCTTACTCTTCCCAAAGGTTCCTCTTGATGCTATCTCCTCAGGCCTTATGGTGAAGTTTGCACCAAAATGTGCTAGCTCAAGACTGTCCCCACGCAATGCTTTTGAACCCAGACTGGCACAAGCTTGTGAGAAATATTTTTCTATCTCACAACCTATGAAAATGCTCTGCTCAGTGGTCATTTTCATATTTAAAAAGCTCTTCATGGATTGAAAGCCCAAACCAGACAGTCACAGACGGAGCTAATGTCCCAGGACACTTGGAGAAGTGTTGTTGAGTATTTTAATTTGCAGAAGTTCCCACCAGCAGACCAAGGCATGCACACACTAATCAATTGCTGTGGCTGCTTCCAGTTCCTAGATCCGTATAAAAACTTCTGTTCATTTTGCAAGCATCCAAATGACTGGAATCTTGCTAGTGGTCTTTAAGGATACAGACAGACTTCGTAAGCTCCATTCCACCCACCCTGCTGTTCGAGTAGGGTGTGCCCCAGCTGTGCTATTTCCTGAGGCTACTGAGGAGGCTGAAGAAGTACTCATTTTGCTCCTACCACTGCTCATCTGGCTCAGTTGTCTTCTCTAGTGAAGCAATGGGTAGGCATAAGCTCTTCCCACAACAAGGAATATAAAATACCACTGGAGCCTGTGTGTCTTGGTGAGAGTAGGCAGCCATGATAACAGCACAGATGCTGGTGAGAGGGCCACAGGTAAGGGTTTGAGCTCTCACCATTTTGGTTTTGAGGACCTAAGGGGATGATTACAAATGGGATTGTTCCTACTCTCATCTATACCTGTTTCAGTGATTATTCTATGGAGGTTTTACTTTGCTCTCATGAGATTAAGTTTTCATTTTCGAGGCCTGTGAATGACATTACTGTATTATCTAGAAAATGAAAAATGTTCTCCTAGAAGCAAGAGGGAGAATAGTCTGTGCTCTTTTTTTCTCATACAAGTGTTTTCCATTTGAATAATCTGTAACCCTTTTCCCCTGGATTTGATCCTTTAGGACATTTCCAGGGAGATGGCTGCTAGAAGAACAGTATCTTCTGGAGGCAAATGGCAGAGGGCAGTGGAAGATGTAATGGAGAAGAATAAACAACCCACGTACATTCTAATCCAAAGACTCGGGGAAAAATCAAGCAGGAAGGGCATGGGATGGTGAAAGAAGCAGCCATGAAGCTCGTATCATGGATGAGGCCTCTTGCTTATATGAGATGATAAGTAGATAGATAGATGGATAGATAGATGTTGAAAGACAGATTTGATATCAATGGAACCTCTCTTTCTAGTTTTTTTTGTTGTTGTTGTTTGTTTAAGAAAAAAAACTTAAATGTGATTTATTTCTCATTGGAGGCCTCCAGAAGCACCAACCTCTTCCCACTGGCTTTATAGGAATAAGCATCCAAAGACAGCAATTTGAACCACTTTTGAGAGGGACCTTTCAACCTGATCTGATGCCTGATCTAGCAGCTAGCAACCTTGCCCATGGCAGTGGGGCTAGAACTAGATGATATCTGAGGTCATTTACAACCCAAGCCATTTTATGATTCTGAGACCAGCCTAGACTGGATGGCAATTGAAAAGCTGAAGTTAGGTGAGCAGAATCTTGTCCCAGGAGCCTCAAGTTTAGGCAAACCTCTAGAGGCAAATATACACAAGTGAATAAAAGTGATTATGCATCCCTTAGTGGTACAGAGAAAAGGTTACATCAAGAAGCAGGTAAGACAAATAAGGCAGTGATGATTTCTACGTCTGCTCTCAGCTGCTTCTGTTCACTGAGCTCCTGGAGAGCCCCTTCAGAAATTGAAAGCTGCATTTGCTCCTCTGCTCTGTCCTCCAGGGAGTGCTGTAACAGGAAATCACCTACCCTCCTTCACAGCAAATAGCATCTCCAGGCACAAGGCTTGACTGCCATGGAGGGACATGATTCACCTGCCTTCTCAGTGCTTAAATTGCCTCTGTATTTTTCAATTGCTCAATTCTATCGAAATTGCAGAAAGGAATGACAGAGGCTTAAAATAGTTAAAGTAGAAAATTTCCCAACTGTCAGTTTTATAATTCTTAAATCCATTCCAGAAGAGCTAGCTTTAGCTCTACTTCCTTATCACTCAGAAAAACTGAGACGATCAATTGAAGTTTTCCCATGCAACCTCTTGGACAGATGGTTGAACCATTTTAATTAAGTGCATGTATTGGACTGACAGAGTTGATGTATCTGACGTGACAGACATTTTCTGTGTTCATTTAGGTTTTTAATTTTTGACTGTCTTTAGTGTGCCCAGAATTGTGCTATTTGCACAATTTGCACTGTGCTCTCAGAATTATTCAATACATAGTCGATCGTTTGGATTATTGGATTTTTATTACTTCTTGTGGTTAGTTTTGGCTGTGGTGAAAAGCTCCTCAGTAGCAATTAGCTACCACTCTGGATCTGAAAATGAAAGGATCTCATTGTGGAAGTCTCTATCAAAGGAGAAGAAACCAGATTACCAGATTTTTTAAGATATTTAGACATCTAGAGAGGAAAATAGGGGCATAGTGAGGATTTCCAAAATCATCTTGATAATCTGTACCTGAAATCTTGAATGGAACTGAAACGGTGCTGAGCTGACTGTCTGCAGCTCTAGACATCTAAAACACTGCAAATCTGCCTCACTGCAGTACTACATGGTAGATGCTCTCTTGGTGCATACTCTTTATTTAAAGTAAAATTAAATTAGCTAGATATGCTTGCTCCCAGGAGATGAGAAACATGCTTTTTTTTTTTTTTCTTGTATCCCTTCACATTCAGTGGCCTTGCTTGAGGTATAAGTTACAGTGTAAGGCACTAGTAGCCCTCACATTAACAACAGGATCCCGGCAGATATAGTGAACCCTCTCACATGATTTCAAGGGTAGGATCTGAGTAAAGGCATATTCCTAACACACACGAATAGTTTCACAGCTAGCGCTCTCTTCTTCGTGTTTATCAGCCCCTGAGTTCTTCATAATATAGTGGTCAATAATAATATTACAGTGCATATGTGGAAACAGAATTATTAGCATTTCTCTTTCTTTTTCCTTCAGTGGGTACTTGCATAAATATTAGACATTTCCACAAGTCCCATGTCCCCTGACTTTATTGGGCTGCTTCACATAATTTTTTCAGTTCCCTTTTAATATTAATAGGTATTAAAATATAGATCTGATATTAATAGAACCTCTCTCTAGGGTTCAGTGAATATCAATCATCAGCTGCAAAAGTATCATATACTTGAATAGCCTACAATGGCTACAAATAACTTTTTTATTTTCAGTGCTTTTCCTGGCCAAGATTAATGTTTGCTTTCATGTGAGATAAACTCCTATGCTCTTGTGTGCTTCATGGTACTAAAAAACAGTGTCTTCTCCTGGTGGGAAAACCATACTGGAAGATTTCAAAGACTGGGAGAAAAGGCTGACAAGTTGATTATAAATAGCATCATAATCCTCAAGACTTTCTAATATCACATACTCAGGATTGCTAATTTCCAGAAAGTTAGGTTGCATCAATTTTCTTAAGTGGAAAAGTAAGAAGAAATACTGAAAGTCGTGAAGATGGTCATAAGCTCAGCATTTCTGGAAGTTATGTTATTTGTGACAAAAGAGACAACAAGGAAGAATAAAAAAGAAAAAAAAGAAGAAGTCAGGTTGTTCTGTTCAGTAGTAGAAGAAGACATGAGATTTAAAAAGAAACATATCCTCTCCTAGGTAGGCAGAGTGAGAGTAAGAAAGAGCCCGGATACATTCAGCTTTTAATAACATGTATGTATAGTCCAACCTGTGCATGTACAAACCCTGCACTCCTGCACACGCTTCAAATACCTGCAGGCATAGATAAATAGTTGGATAAGCACATACCTCTTTGCTTGCTTACATGGGAGATTTTGTTCATGCAGTAAAAACTGAGCACCTCTTTTGCAAAACCTCATCGTACATCTGCATGCATGAGTATTCCAGGAAATTCAAAATAGCCACTCCTTGAATGTCCTGTTCATGCACACTGCGGGCTAATGGACTTATCAAATCACTAACAATTGTTTTTGAGAGGCGAGGTGGAGAGGCAGTGAGTGATGGGGGCAGGGAAGGAGAGAGGGAAGGAATATCGTGCTGCTCTGCCATGAAGTTGTGGAAAGTGTGATCGTGGTGAACACTGATTGATAAGCACAGAGCTGAGCAGTCTGTGGCTCTTTTTCTAACAACAAGCCAGAAATTCTGTGCAGCGATACAGTGAGTGTCATATGCTGCACCGTCAGATCCACGCACGTGGATTCTGCAAACAGATTCACTCCTTCTAACCAGCATCGGCAACATCACATTTAATTTTCTAAGTGCAACATCTGATCTGATCTAAGAATATCAAAAGGAGCCAGTAGCTCAGACTGACATTATTACACAAGCAGTCACATTTTGATATTTAAGCTTGTACATTCCTCAATTGAATTTCTTGGCATTGTCAAGGAAAAAAAAAAAAAAAAAAGAAAAAAAAAAAGAAAAGAGGGGGAAAAAAAAAAAAAAAAAAAAAAAAAAAAAAAACAACAAAAGAAAGAAAGAAAAAAAAAAAAAAAAAACAAGCCATGATTCTGATGAAAGCAGCTGTCATTCAGCACCAGGACTTGCCCTTCGAACAGCTGTACTTGATCTCAAAACTCTCACCTGCACAGCATGGTAGGCTGAATCAACTCCGCTCTTTGTCTCACTACCTCAGATAAGCCTGTCATCAAAGTGAAGAGATAAAAAAGAGACAATCATAACTCTAATGTCATATTTGACAGAGGAAGCTGTTAGTCAAGTAGCTTTAAACTGTTTCTCCTCTACATGTATCGAGTGACGTCCTGGCACGGCGACAAGAACTTATCACATTACTTTTTATACAGGGAAGAAAAAAAAAAATACCAGAACAGATGTGTCATCATAGGCACACCTTTCAGTGGACCTTCAAAGTGAAGAACTGGAGAGGCTCTTTCATGAGACAAGTGTCACAACAACTCCGTCTTCATAGAGGTTCCTATGCAGGCCACTGCAGACAGCACATAGCAGATGATTGGAAGTAACTACACTAATAAGGAGTTGGCTCAAGATGCCAAGAAAACAGGTTTCCTAGGGCCAGATCTTGAATTTTCTACTGTAGCAAAATACTAACTAGCGTAGGAACTGGTCCAAAGGCAGCTTCCTAAGGAGAAACTGAAAATAGCTTGCTCATCATAGCTGGCATTCCAGGAAAGGTGAGGAAGAGAGCTAGCTCCAGATATGCAGACCGGGGTGTAACAAATTTAGACTATTGATGACTCTTAAGACAATTATTAACTGATCAGCCTGCTTTTCTCAGGGGCTGAACTCAAAGATCTCCAGAGGTCCCTTCCAGCCCCTACAATTCTGTGATTCTGTGATCCATGATATCAGATAACTATCAAACCTGTATTTGGTATATTTGGAAAGTACTGCTTTCAGTAGTGTAGCAGCTGAAATAGGTCTATTTGTATTTGTGCACTGCATTTAACCCAGAGATCTCACAAATCTTTAAAAATAACAACAATAAAGAACTGGCTGGATGTCTGGGCACAGAGAGAAGTGGTGAATGGAGTTAAATCCAGCTGTGACCGGTAATTAGTGGTGTTCCCCAGGGGTCGGTATTAGGGCCTGTCCTGTTTAGTATCTTTACTGATGAAGATGAGGGGCAGGAGGTGATCCACGTCCCTCTACTTGGCACTAGTCAGGCCACACCACAAGCACTGTGCTCAGTTTTGGGCTCCTCATTACAAGAAAGACATTGAGTGCCTGGAGTGTGTCCAGGGGAGAGCAACAAAGCTATAATGGGACTGGAGCACAGTTCTTATGGGGAGCATTTGGGGGAACTAGGATTGTTCAGTCTGGAGAAGGGGAGGCTCAGGGGAGACCTTATGGCTCCCTATAACTCCCTGAAAAGAGATTCAGGCGAGGTGGTTGTTGGCCTTTTCTTCCAGGTAACATTAATATGACAAGGTGATGGCCTTAAGCTGTGCCAGGGGAAGTTCAGGTTGGGTATTAGGAAAATTTCTTCTCAGAAAGAGTTGTCAGGTATTGGCACAGGCTGCCCAGGAAGGTGGTAGAATCGCTGTCCCTGGAGGCTTTCAAGAAACATGAAGATGTGACATTGAGAGACGTGTTTTTCAACCTTAATGATTCTATGATTCTCTAATAACTTCTTGGTCAGATGGAGCTTTTGCTTACAGAAAAACAGTCATATTGGAAAAGTATAAGCACAGCTCTGGGCCTATGGGGACCTATACTGATATAAAAAGGAGAGTAATTGGGTTTAATTCAAGAGACTCAGAGTAATTTTACACGCCAAAGCTACCTTGTGACTTGTTTACCTCCTGAAACTCCCATAGTGATCTTCTTAAAAGCTTTCATCATCTGGGAGTTTGCCTTGGCTAGGAGTTTTTGTTTTTAATATTATCTCTTTCATAGTTTTCATCTGAATCAAGGTAATGGAGGATAAGTGAACTTGGTCAG